GGGCGCTATTTCTAAGCCAAAAGAACTGGACTTTGTTACACCCGGCCTAGGCGAAACAGATACGAACGGACGTACTCTAGAGGAGCTCGTAATATTTTCGGTTGGGGAAGGGATGTGAGTGCTTGAGAGGGTTGCTGATGTGGCCAGTAGGTGGTTAGGCTAGGCTAGGGAATAGTGCATAGGGAGTAGGGAGGTTACAATGGTCTTAGGGATTTAAGGGAGAGTGTATGTGAGAGGAAGGCATCTTGGAAGAAAACTTATTCTTACTGTTTCCTTATTGCTGGCCGAGCTAAGCTCGTGGGTTCTAGTGAAGATTAATGAATTTGGATCCTTTGGTTGAGGTTCCTTCAATAATCTAGCTGTGGTATTGTTTATGTGGTGTGTGTGTGTTGGCTTAGTGTTACAGGAACTCGGTGGCCTAACAGTTTTGGTATTAGAGCCTCTACGATCTGGGAGAGCAGAGGATGACGAAAGGCGTTACTCGTGGTGATCGCGTGGAGGAATTAGAGAAGAAGTTGGACGAACTGTCGGAGAAGTTGACAGGGTTGGATCGACGGGAGGAATGTCTCAAGGGCTTACCTCAGTTGGTGTCTAATCTCGTCAAGGAGAGCTTCGAGAGTTTCAATCACGGATTGCCGAACTCTTCGTCGAAGGAAGGGGGAAGGAGGCGATCTCCGTCCCTGCTGTAGGAGCAGAGGAGCCCAAAGCAGCAGCAGGATAGAGTATCAGGCTTCCACTGGCGTTCCTCCTGCACGACGGCCGCACTACGCGGGACAGACTGATGGACTGCGACCTTGGGGGACAACACTTGAAATGGAGCCGCCAACACCATGGGCTGGAGGCCGATACAACCATGAAGGGAGGCGTGGGCCTAAGCGTTGGGAGTTTGGGGGTGACCGTCGCCAGTTAGGAGGGACTTACCGCCATGGGCTGGTGGTGAACCTCCAAATCTGGTACCTCACCGACGGAGAATTGGAGGAAGTCCACCTCGTGTGGATTTACCGCCCTTTGACGGAGAAGGGTGGCCGGTCTGGGTAAGAAGGGTGAAGTGGTACTTCCGGGTCCATATGATCCGACCCGATGTACGCGTCCAAGTCATTGCGGACTTTCTCGTGGGTAAGGCTTGGGAGTATTACGAGTGGGTCATGGATGAAGAGCCGGGCATGGATTGGGAAGAGTTGAAGTTCTCTTTCGGGCAGCGTTTTGGGCCCAAAGAATTCAAATCGGTTCAAGAGCAATTGGTGGGCTTGAGACAAATGGGCTCCGTGGCGGAATATGGAGAACGGTTTCAGGAGTTGTCAGCCCGAATTCGAGGAATGGACCAAGCTACCACCCTAGTAATTTTTTTGAATGGATTGAGCCCAAAGCTGCACGATGATGTCCAGATGTGGAAACCAAGGAGTTTACATGAGACTATTCAATTGGGCTTACAGCTGGAACACAAAATGAAGGCTCAAGGGACACGTGGAAGGGTAGGCCACGTATCACATTTCAATCCCTCTCACCAAACGACAAACCGTTTGGTCTCCAACAAGTGGAGTTCAACCTCCGTGAGCAACCTGTGTCCCTTGTTTGAGCAGACCTAAAAGCCTGCTGTGGGAGGACAAAGAGAGGTCGGCGGTGGGCTCGAGCCCGGCTCAGCTGAAACGTCAACGCCGGAAGGACAACTGAGAGTGCTTTCGGTGCGGAGAGCCGTGGGATGGCGGCCATCGGTGCAAGACCGGTACTATCCAGCTGCTAGAGACGCGACAGAAGAAGACGACGAACCAGAAAAAAGCGGAGGAGGACCGCGACTGTACGGACTCAGAAGAGGAGGAAGGATTGATGCTCCTCCAACCGGATCTGATTTTGCAAGCTTTAGCGGGAATCAATGGGGGTGATACCCTCAAGTTGTACGGTCAGATACAAAAGAAAAAGGTAACCATCTTAATCGATAGTGGAGCCAATTCTTCGTTTATCAGTTGGAACAAGGTTAAGGAGTTGGGGTTATCAGTATTCTCAATTTCGGAATATACCGTCAAGGTTGGTGATGGTTATTGCGTGACTATTGACAACATATGCCGAGAAGTGCATCTGGAAGTGTCTAGTTTGGAGTTCGAGTTAAGATTTATATCCATTTGAGATACCGGGAGTAGATGTGGTTTTGGGGGCCGGTTGGCTCAGGAAATTGGGAACTTTTAGGGCGAATTTCTGGAAAATGTGGTTGGAGTTTGAGCTGGAAGGGAAGGTACACTAGCTGTTTGGGGTGTTGGCTTTATCCAGAGAGCCTATTTCGGTTACCGCCGTGGCCAAAATGGCCAATAAGGGAGAGGAGTGTTACTTGGTGCAGTGGCAGAATTCTTACCAACCCAATACTGGGAATGATGGGGCAACTAAGGCTTATGTGGAGGAGTTGGAGAAGGAGTATAAAGCGGTGTTTTCGGGGAAGCCGGGCCTACCACTGTCCAGAATAGGGGATCATGCTATTGTGCTACAATCTGATGCGAAACCCCCCCAATATCTGGCCCTACTGTTATCCTCATGCGCAAAAGAATGAAATAGAGCGCTTAATTGCAGACATGACAGTGGCTGGCATTATCAGACCTAGCCAAAGTCCCTACTCGAGCCCAGTGATATTGGTTCGCAAGAAGGATGGGAGTTGGCGCTTTTGTGTGGATTACCGAGAGTTGAACAAGTTGATGGTGCTTGATAAGTTTCCTATTCCTGTAATCGAGGAGTTGTTGAACGAGTTACATGGGGCGTCTTGCTTTTTGAAGCTTGATTTAAACAGCGGTTACCACCAAATACGCATGAGGCGGGAGGATGTGGAGAAGACGGCATTCCGGACGCACAAGGGACACTATGAGTTTCTCGTCATGCCCTTTGGACTTACGAATGCTCCGGCTACCTTCCAAGCGATGATGACCGAGTTATTCAAACATCTGCTCCGGAAGTTTGTCTTGGTTTTCCTAGATGACATACTAGTATACAGCTACAGTTCACAGGAGCACTTTGGCCACCTGCGCACAGTGTTGCGGTTGTTGAAGGAGGGGAGTTTTGTGCTCAATCTGAAGAAATGTTTGTTTTTTGGGGATTCTATGGAGTATTTGGGACACCGCATCTCACAGGAGGGCATGGCGGCAGATCCAGAAAAGATACGGGGTATGGTTGAGTGGCCAATTCCAACCACAGTAAAGGGGGTGCGTGGCTTCCTGGGGTTGATAGGGTCCTACCGCCGTTTCGTTAAAAATAATGGCACCATTGCGCAGCCTTTGACAGAATTATTAAAAAAGGGTGAGTTCACTTGGTCTGAGGAGGCGTAGCGGGCGTTCCAGGAACTCAAACGGCGGATGACGGAGACTCCAGTCCTTTTCCTACCCAATTTCAATGACACATTTGAGGTTGAGACAGATGCATCAAGGGCATTCATAAGGGCGGTCTTATTACAGCGGGGGCTACCGGTGGCTTATTTTAGCAAGGGGCTGTCGCCTAGAACAATGGCCAAGTCTGTTTATGAGAGAGAACTTATGGCCTTGGTTTTGGCCATCCAGAAATGGAGAGCTTGCCTTCTCGGTAGGAAGTTTGTTGTGCGTACCAATCAGAAGTCCATTCGCTTTCTTTTGGAATAGCGAATCAGTACCCCGGCACAACAAAAGTGGTTGGTGAAGTTGATGGGGTTTGACTTTGACATCCACTACCGAGCGGGGAGAGAGAATACTGTGGCCGATGCCTTGGCTCGCCGAGGCGGCTGGACGCAAGGAGGGGAGCTGCTTGCTATCTTGGGACCTAAATTTCTAGACATGGCTACGGTGGAGCGGGAGGTAGCCGTTGATGCCAACCTTTGCACCCTCAAGGAACAGTTGAGCCGCGGAGAGTCACAAGGGAGTCATTATGCAGTGGAAAATGGCGTGTTGTTGCATCGAGGTCGGATAGTGATTCCGGCAGGTTCCCAACTCAAGCAGCAGTTGTTGGAAGAATTCCACTCAACCCCTATGGGGGGGACACGCGGGTTCTCTAAAGATGTACAAGCGGATTAGTGCTAACGTGTATTGGCCGGGCATAGCAAGAGATGTGCAAAGATTTGAGGCTGAATGTGGAATTTGTCAACAAAACAAGGTGGAGTCTACGAGCCCGGCGGGGTTGCTACAGCCATTACCCATTCCCGAGGCAGTGTGGGAGGACATCTCAATGGATTTCATCGAGGCGCTGCCTAAATCTAACGGTCATGAGGTAATTTTCGTGGTGGTAGACCGTTTGACCAAATTCGCACATTTCATTGCCCTCAAGCGGCTGTTCACTGCTAAATTGGTGGCAGAGGTGTTTTGTCGAGAGGTGGTTTGCCTTCACGGCATACCACAGAGTATAGTGAGTGATCGTGACAAGGTTTTCACTAGCCTTTTTTGGAGATAGCTGTTTCGCCTCCAGCACACAACTTTACATATGAGGAGGGGAGTAATGTTACACCCGGGCCTAGGCGAAACAGATACGAACGGACGTACTCTAGAGGAGCTCGTAACATTTTTGGTTGGGAAAGGGATGTGAGTGCTTGAGAGGGTTGCTGATGTGGCCAGTAGGTGGTTAGGCTAGGCTAGGGAATAGTGCTTAGGGAGTAGGGAGGTTACAACGGTCTTAGGGATTTAAGGGAGAGTGTGTGCGAGAGGAAGGCATCTTGGAAGAAAACTTATTCTTACTATTTCCTTATTGCTGGCCGAGCTAAGCTCGTGGATTCCAGTGAAGATTAATGAATTTGGATCCTTTGGTTGAGGTTCCTTCAATAATCTAGTTGTGGTATTGTTTCTGTGGTGTGTGTGTTGGCTGTGTGTTGGTTCTGTGTTGCAGGAACTCGGTGGCCTAACAGACTTCTACATATCTTTTTACTATTTAACACACGAATTGCCAAACTTAGTGCTGCTGATTATTATGTTTATTTATATAATCTTCTCTTATACAAAAGTCTTTAACTTCCTGAAGTGAGAGACTTGTGTTTCTACATTTCAGTCTCAGAAACATGTTTATCCAAGTACGAGATTGCAGCTGCAGCATTAAGTGCTGCTCCCACTGAAAGAGCCCCCTCGTCGATGAAAAAGTAAGGCGAGTGCAAATGCTGATCTGCTTTCACAGTTTCATTCCTTATCCCAATTGCGAAAATCGCAGCAGCAGTTCTTTGTGAGAAGAAACTGAAATCTTCTGCTCCCATGGTCAACGGAAGAAGCTGCACGTTATCCTCCCCAAGCAGGACTTCCCCGACACTCTTCACATGCTCATACAAGCCCTCATCATTAACCATCACCGGGTGAGGCATTGGTTTCTCCTCCATGAAGTCTACCTCGGCGCTACAACGATGCACCAATGCTTGTTGCTCTATGATCTGTAAGTAGACATACGATAAATGACTGTTTTCATAAAATGATTATAACAGTTGTTGACAAAAGATCAAAAATAGTAGTTCATGCTTTACCTCTCTGATCCTTTTCTGGAGGTACGAGAGACCTTCAGAGCTCAAACTCCTGTAAGTTCCTCCAAGTGTCAGGTACTCTGGGATCACATTTCCTGCTTCACCTGCCTTTATATATCCAACTGTTACCACCTGTATGATGCAAATCAAACTGTCAAGAATATTGGTATATCTAGCGACTCTGCAGCACAAAGAAAAACTCCGGTATTTTTTTTTTTTGTTTTTTTATGGATGTCTTTGTCAAAGCTGCAGCTCAAATTCTGAAAACTATTATGTGAATTCTTCTTATGGGTAGCAAACTATTCTACAGGAAAGGGAAGCAAAAAAAGATTTACACTGGCTTCGAGTGGATCTGTCTCACGAGACACGATCTGTTGCAGAGAAAGGATTGCCAAGGCTGCTGCAAGGATTGGGTCCCTAGTCTCATGAGGGGCTGCTCCGTGCCCGCCTTTGCCTTGTATAGTCGCTGAGAACAGGCCTACACCGGCAAGTATGGGACCAGGCCTCGAAGCGATGGCACCAGATGGTACCGACGGCAAAACATGTATACTCAAGATGGCACCAATATCATCCAAAACACCATCTTTCAACATGTGGTAAGCGCCAGCATAACCCTCTTCTCCAGGCTGAAAGACTAGCTTCACAGTTCCCTGTATGTATAGAGAAAAACTCAGCCCCAACAGAAAAGGGTAAAAAAGTTTGAAATGCAGTTTTTGTTGTTAATATCAGAAGAGTTGAGATTTGCCTGGAGTGAATCTTTTCTTGGCTGGAGTAACCTGGCTGCTCCAAGTAGCATTGCTACGTGAGAATCATGACCACATGCGTGCATCTTTCCATCAACCTTGCTCTTGTACTCCCACTCCACTAATTCCTTCCAAATGGTAGATATCACACAAAAAACAACGTAATTAGTCAAAAAAAAAAAAAAAAAAAAAAAAAAAAAAAAAAAAAAAATAAAAAAAAAAAAAAAAAAAAAAAAAAAAAATGAAACAAACAACATAGTTTCAAAGGCTTAGTAATCCTAGGTTTCACATAACATCTTAAGGATTTGTGCATTCTTTTTAATTATTCTTTGTTGGAAGGAACGAATCCTTCACTAATTTTATTTTATTTTTTCTTTTTATTTTTCTTTTTGGCTTATATCTGAGGACTCTTCATCCTCTGGTCACGGGTGTAATGATACTATGTTGATAAATATTTATTGTTTCTTATTAGAAGCAAAAATGATCATGACCCATAAGTGACCATAAATATTATGGGCCGGAAAACCCAATTAGTGGTTTGTCCTCTTAACATAATCTCCTTCACTCCCCGCTGTGGTATTTTTTTTTCTGTTTTCTTTTTAGCTTTAATTCCACTTACAGTGTCGTTTTATTTCCTATCTTACAGTATTGTTTACCAAAACGACACAATTTAGAGAGAGAGAGAGAGAGAGAGACCTGCACAGGAAGAGCATCCATGTCAGCTCTGAGAGCAAAAACAGGCTTAGACCCAGAACCAATAGTGGCCACAATTCCAGTTTTGGCAACAGGCCATTTATACCGAATTCCGAGCGAGTCAAGCTCGGTCCTTATGAGTTGACTCGTCTTGTGCTCTTCAAATCCAAGTTCTGGGTACTGATGAATTCTCCTTCTGACCCCAATCATCCACTCAAAGAACTCTGCCTCTTTTGCCGAGTCCATCAACTCGCGACTCAGTAGTGACTCGAGCTCTGATGACTCCTTATAAGCCCTCGACTGGTACAAGAATGATGACATCAATGCCAACCAAAGTACGAGATTCATGAGTTTGAGAGAAAAAACTTTGAAGAAAAGTTGAGGAAAAATGAGTGTTTGTAAGAAAATGTACTTTAGATGATTCGGAAAAGCCCATGTGAGAGTCTTCTTAAACACTTCTTATATATCTAGCTTTTGAATTAGGACGCGTGCTTAAGTATGTTTATGATAATAATTTTCATTTTTTTTTGTGGAGATTCCCTCAACTGCCCATTATTAATTACTGATTGATGCTTTAGTCTAGTTCATTTCACCGATTCGAGTTTTCAGTTTTAAGTTTTTACAGTAAAAAGTTCTTAAAAAATGTCACATCTAACTTTTTCTGCTATAGTAAAAAGCTCTCACAAAATGTCACATCTCAACTTGAATTAAAAACTCGAATCCGTGAAATGAACGAGATCTTTGTAATTTCATGCGTATGCCAAAAAAAAAAAAAAAAGATGGATGGTACAAGTTTTGTTTTCTTACTTAATTTCAGCGGTTGAGTGACAATGGAGATAAAATATGCTTTTATCAGGTGGAATCCCACAATAAAAAACCATTTAGGTCATTTTCTAAGCGTTGCACTAACTACTACGGTAGGGCCCCACTCTTTTTAGCAGAATTCAATTGTATGTATTTAAAAAGGGCTTTCTTTTGAAGGTTCTAAAACTTTTTCCACATGTTACATGTTTAGACACATATGAGTATATGACTCAGGTGTGTTTGATGAAGGCCTTATCTTTCATGGCTAAAATGGGACAACACAACAAGTGGTTCACAACGTCAACAATGTTGGAAAGTTTTCCGAATAAAAGATTGCGATGGCAGCGTTTAGAGCTGCTCCTATAGGAAGAGCTTCTCCATCAACAAAAAAGAAAGGAAAGTGAAGTGCTTGATCTGATTTCAGACTCTCATTCTTTATCCCGGAGTACAAAAACCGCGGCAGGGATCTTCTGAGAGAAGAAGCCGAAATCTTCTGATCCCATGGTCACCGGAAGAAGCTGCATAGCATCGATGCACGGCTGCTTGCAACTGTACGACCTGCAAGTCAAACGTAATTATACCACCAAAAAAAAAAAAAAGGATTTAAATATCACCATTATTAGTTTTTCAATGAGTCGGAATCTCTGATGTTCTACTTCAGGCGCATTATATTGTTGACATGTGAATTTGTAATTGATTAAAAAAAAAATTGTAAGGTGATGATTAACATGACGATACACATTGGGTGCGTTTGGAATTGGTTCCAAAACGTTTTTATTTTTTGTATGAAAATGAAAACGAAAACGTTTTTATTTTCATTTTAGAATCATTTCTGAAAATGCGTTTGGTAGTTTTATTCTGAGATTGTTTTCAGTTTTAAAAAAAACTAAAATTGTGTTTGGTAGTTTAATTTTTAAAAACATGTATTAATATTTAAACTAATAATATATTAAATAAATATATTAAATAAACTTATCAACCCATTTCCTTACGTCATCAATCAACCCAAAAACGGGGCCAAAAACAAGAAAAAACGAAAACCCATTTCTAGATGAGGAGGGGGTGGTTAGGGGCAGTGAGGTCGAGGCGGGAGAGGAGGGGAGACTGGGGGGGGAGGCAGAGGAATTTGAGTTGATTTTTTGATTGAGATTCGATTACAGCTTGGAATTGGAAGAAGAAGAAGAGCAAGTTGTGACTTGGGGCTTATATTACGATTACAGCTTGGGTGTGTGGGTCCATCGGTCGGGGAAAGAAAATGAAAATGAAAAACTGAAAACAATTTTCAATCGTTTTCAGTTTTGTTGAGTTTTTAAGAATAAATTAAAAAACGTTTTCGTTTTCTGTTTTTTAAGAAATGCTGCCAAACGGCTTCCTCAGAGCATTTTCAATTTTTAGTTCTTGAAAAACGTGAAAACGGAAACGAAAACGGAACCAAACAGGCCCATTGTTTCTCTTACTTGAATAGTGAGAACAACAAAGTCAAAATGTTATAAATTTTGGTCCTATTCATTTAATTAATTTGACTTTAAAATTTGAATCTTATTACATAAATTTTTTTAAAAAATAGTCACATTTAATTTTTTTTATTATAATAAAAAATTCTCTTATAAAATTTCATCTCAACTCAAATTAAAAATAAATTAAATGAGCGCTTTATATACAGTGGTGTTTTTGAATCAAAAGTGTAGTTGTGATTTGGATTAGACCTACATGATTATCATTAATTCTCGGTCAATAAAAGCTGTAAATGAGTCTACATAAGGAAATTTCAATGTTGTCAAAGAAAGAAAAAATTATCTGTCAATGCAATTTGGGGAAATTTAATGAGAAAAAAAAAACTACAATGGAATTGCATTAAAAAAAAAAAAGCACTACAATGACTACAAACAAGAAACTTGAAAAATCATTCACATTTAAACAAATTTCATTTAAAAAGAAAAAAGAAAAAAAAATACTAAGGTGATGTTTGGTAGAGGGATTCATTTCCTGATTCGAATTATGATTCGTGGTTCGATACAGTATTTTTTCTCATAAAAAATACACGTAAATTAAAAATAGTTTTAATTACATAATTTTAATCAATGAACCAAACGGACTCTAACTTGAATGAAAACTCGGCCTCTAGGAGATATAGGCGTGGCGGCAGCCGGCGGTCGGTGGGATAAAGCGTGGGCGGCGCTTTGGTACATGGCGGTGGGAAAGAGAACAAATGTCGAGTCTGAAAGGAAAAGAATGTTAGGGAGGGAGTTTCTTTTTTTGTTTTTTTTGTTTTTTGACTGGTTAGATCTGAAAATTTGATGAATCTTAAAGGGTATACTAGTAATTTTAATTTCCACATCATCTTTTACCGAAATTGGAAAATTACATTCTTACGGTAATTGTGAATCAATCAATCAATCAATTTAGGAAATCGAATATCGGTCCTTTTTTTTTTTTTTGCTTTTCGAACGAACTCTAATTGAAACATTCCGATCTCCTAAATTGATTGATTGATTGATTGAGAATTACGGTAAGAATGTAATTTTCCAATTTCCTAAAATTATCTCGAATCACCTTAAGAATGTTTTTTTTAATTAATTTTTTTTTTGAACTTTCCGATTTCCGATTTACCTAAATTTCTGCTAGCCGCTTTCCGATTTCCGCATCCGAATCCTCAACTTCTCAAACGAAAGGAAAAGAAACGATTTCGGCATCCGAATCTTCTCAAAAGAAATGAAAAGAAAAGAAAAGATTCTCGCATCCCCAATGGTTGAACCACACCTGCTTTCCGATTTTCGCATCCCCAGTCGGCCATCGCAAAAGAAAAGAGAAGAAAAGAAAAGCAAAAGCCACCCAATCCAACCATGCGAATCAGAAAGTTTTCTCGATAAACACGAAAGCAAGGATTACCATTGGATTGTTCAAGTTCCAACAGAGAATTAGAGAGAAAGAAGTCGTCTTCATCAACAGTCGCCATGACCAATAATAACAATATCTCTGCAGAAAACCAAGCCTGGTGCTACCTCACGGAAAATAATTCAGAAAGCTTCTTAATCCCCGAAGATGTCTCCATCTATATCAATCTTCACATCCTTACTCTTAACACCAAACACCAGATCCTCACTTTCGACGATCATGATTCCAACATCCCCCCCCCTGGGAGTTCCGCTACGACCACTACCCGGATTCCATTGGATTGCTCCTCCGTCAACCCTGGCCCGTTTTGTCAAATACAAGGCAATCCCTCAAGCCTGGCGATCTCGTCCTCTTCTATCGCCACCCAACTGATGGAAAACGCTTGTTCATCCGAGCCATCTCCCAAACCTCACTTCATTCTCAACCTAATCAATTTATTCCACTAATCAAGGTATTTAATTTTACTTTTTTTTTTTAAAAACTAGATCTTCTTTAATTCTGTTTATTTTAGAGATGATTTTTTTTATTATTTATTGAATGGGAAAAGATAATAATGATATATAATTACAAATTTCAACTATTAGATTGTGGTTAATCCGGTTGAAATTTTTCTTACCAACTAATGTCATAATTGAATTTTAATAGGATAATTAAAATTCTACACAAAAATTAGGGGTAGACAAGATTTTAAACTTTAAATTTCATATGTATTTTCTATGTGAACCAAAGAGTAGTGTAGTACTGATTGTTATTGTGTATTTGGTTTACCCTCCCCTTTTAGAGTCGTGGGAAGTTAAGCCAGAAGACCTTCCTGCTTTGCGAGCTCGCAAAGTTAAGCCAGAAAACCTTCCTGCCTTGCGAGCTCGCATAGAGGTATCGCTGTTTGAACCATATTCTGAGACACTTGTTCATTATTACGAAAAGTACGAAAGTCGGGATCCAATGCTAAAGCCTCAATTGGAGTTTCATCCTAAATTCATCAAGGACTGCATGATTGTATTGGTCAGCTATACGCAGTTTCCGCATCAATCTGCCATTGCTGCGAAAATTGGTTGCTGATGCAAATGAGGAAACCGAGTTCGAAAAACTCACCAAAAAGGTTCATGAGACCAAGAAGTGTCTCGAGATTATTACGAAAGAAATCGAGTCCGCTAGGCTTCATCTTCAACACTGGAACAAAAAATTGAGGCAAGAATAGCTATAGAGGATCTCAACGCATAAATGAAGAGTTTTGACTGACTCGATACAAATCGTTTTCTATAGCTCTTCCGTTTATAATTTTATCAACTAGAAAACAAAAGGCTTTTGTATTAGTTTTTAATTTATCAGAACAACTTTTACTTATTAGCTTAACTTTATCAACTCTTTGAGTTTTATTTAATGTGATTCTCCCTTTGTTGAATTTTACATGCGTACGGTGTAATGCTTAAATGATGGAATCAGAATTTTTGTGGTTGTGTTATGCAAGCTTAAACAACTGTCTTATTACTTTTTCACTCATCTAAGTCTATAAGTTTGGAAGGCATTAGATGTCATTAATAAGTAGGGTCAACAATGTTGTTTTCCAAGTAAGAGATTGCGACGGCAGCATTTAGAGCTGCTCCTATAGGAAGAGCTTCTTCATCAACAAAAAAGAAAGGAGAATGAAGTGCTTGACCCGATTTCAGACTCTCATTCTTTATCCCGAGTACAAAAACCGCAGCAGGGATCTTCTGAGAGAAGAAGCCAAAATCTTCTGATCCCATGGTTACTGGAAGAAGCTGCACATTCTGTTCCCCAAGCAAGGTCTCTCCAACCTTCTTTGCATGTTCATATAGTGCTTCGTTGTTAACCACCACAGGATAAGGCAAAGGTGTTTTCTCCATGAACTCCACCTCTGCATCACATCGATGAACGGCTGCTTGCAACTGTACGACCTGCAATTATATCCAAAAAGGAAAAAAAAGTAAGTATCAGCACAATTAGTTTTTCAATCAGTAAGAATTTTTGACACTCGACTTCCAGGGCACTGTAGAGTTGACATGTGAATCTGTGATTGATTATAATAAAACTGATTAACATAATGATACATAGTGTTTTTCTTACTTGAATAGTAAGAATGTTATTAGTCAGAAAATGTTTATAAACATTATAACTAGTGGTGTTTTTGAATCAAAAGCTGAAAATGAATGTACATTTTATGTTACCTCTTTGATCCTTTCCTGGATGTAAGATAAACCTTCAGAGGTTAAGCTCCTATAGGTACCCCCAAATTTCACATACTCAGGGATTACATTACCTGCTTTACCTCCCTCTATGAACCCAACTGTTACCACCTGCGTGATCAAATATATGTATCATGTATCATGTATCACATCATAATTCAATATACAAACTCCATTCAAATCAGATAACAAATGGTTAATTCTGTTTAGATAAATGTTTGATTAATTTCTTGCTATATGAAGACAAGAAAATTACTCTGGCCTCAAGAGGGTTTGTCTCACGAGACACAATCTGTTGGAGAGAAAGGATTGTGAAGGCCGCCGCAAGAATTGGGTCTCGATTATGATGAGGAGTTGCAGCATGTCTGCCCTTCCCTCTAATCGTGACTGAGAAGAGCCCGGCGCCAGCGAGAATCGTCCCAGGCCTTGAAGCAATCACACCAGTTGGATACGATGGCAAAACATGTATGAAGAAGATGCCGTCAAGGTCATCAAGAGCACCGGGGTGTTGTAACATATGGTAAGCACCGGCATAGCCCTCTTCCCCAGGCTGGAAAACTAGCTTTATTGTTCCCTTCAGAGAAACAGAAAGAGAATTTGGTCGCAAAATGTTTAGAGTTAAATACCATCTAGAGTATGTACTTAAACTTGTACCTTAAGCTCATCTTTTTTGTTATGAAGTAATTTGGCTGCTCCCAATAACATAGCTACATGAGAATCATGACCACAGGCGTGCATTTTGCCGTCTATCTTGCTCTTGAATTCCCACTCCACTAGCTCCTAACATTGGTGTTATTGGGTTTAAAGGTATTAGAAATTCATAACAAAGACGAAGTATTCCATATAATCAGTCACTTAGTATAGGCAAATTGAGGAGTATATTGTTATAAAAAAATCTTTTACATTGTTAAGATTCAAAAACCCCAATTCTTACTATTAGAGAGCAATAAGAAAAGGAAAACAAAAATAAGAAATAAACAAAACACACACATAGAATCTGCAGTGGTTCACTCAAATGTGAAAGCTACACAGAATATCATTACACTATACATATATATATATATATATAAAAGTATACAAAACCACTTTGTGAACACGAGACAGAAAGAAAAAAAAAGGACAAAATTCAATTTACTATCAAAATATTTCCCTGAGTCTCTTTTTTCTCTCTAGGACATACTAAAACATGGGTGGAATACATAAATATCCCCGGAAATTCCTCTATTAAGGGAGGCTACTGTCGGTTGATCCACCGTTGACCTTACCGCGAACATTGCAACACGGCAGGCGAGAAAAATATAGAGTATAATTACGCTCTACACAATTCAACGTACATTATCCTTAAAAAAAAAAGGTACATTACAACCAGCAGGGAAAAAGAAACACGAAGTAAAGCTGAAACGGCGAAGGATAATACAAATGTGTTTCACCTTTGACACATTTAGACCCGTTCATTTTACCGATTCAAATTTTTAATTTTAATTTTATTATAAAAACTCTCATAAAAAGTCACAATTAATTTTTTATTATTACGGTGAAAAGCTCTCATATTAAATCACATATAAAATTAAATTAAAAACTCGAATTTGTAAAACTGAACGAGACTTTAATTAACACGCAAGTTTCTAATGCTCTTAAATTCAGTCACTATTAATTGTCCATTCCAATTTTGATCCAATTAATTAGTCCAAAAACAGTAATCCCACAAATGATCTTAATCCCACTATATCTCTCCTCTAATATCTAAGCAAACCATAATAGTTTCAGTAATTCATTCACCAAAAAACAAAAAATAACTAAATAGATAAATAAAAGTAGTCACATTAGAGTAAAAAGAGAGAGAAAACCTGTAAAGGCAGAGCATCCATGTCGGCTCTGAGAGCAAAAACGGGTTCAGAGCCAGACCCAATAGAGGCAACGATTCCAGTCTCGGCAACCGGCCACGTGTACTGAATCCCGAGCGAGTCGAGCTCGGACCTCACGAGTTGACTCGTCGCCTGCTCTTGAAAACCCAGCTCCGGATACTGATGAATTCTCCTTCTGACCCCTCTCATCCACTCGAAGAACTCGGGCTCTCTCGCCGATTTCAGCAACTCTCGACTCAGAAACTCGAGCTCCAATTCTTGGGTATTTTCTTCCAAAGCCCATTGTGGTTCCCACAAAGTTGATGATATCAAGAAGAAGAAGAAGAAGAAGAAGACGAAGCTCGTGCAGTGCATAGCGCAATACATTGGTTGAAAAGAAACTCCTGATTTGCAGACACAAATGAATTGACTTTAAAATGGTGTGCATACACACGTGTGCGTATATTGGTGTAAATAATCACGTGGAAAAAGGTGACAACTGGTCTAAATTATTATTATTTTTCTTAATACCCTTTCAACATAATTATGATATGCAATACTTGTGAAATTTTCTTCTTATAACCATGTAAAATCGTAGTTTTGTGTGTGTAACACTGGTTCGTTATAATAGTTAAAAAACGTAATTTAATACATGTAAGCTGTAGTATTGAGTATTATACTTAAAAAAAAAAAAAAGAATGTCCGGACTATGTTACACAAGAATAAAAATAAAGCTATATTTACCGGACTGTATACGTGAGACTTTGCCCAGAATAGAAAAATAATATCATGATACGCTTTACATTTTTTACATAATACGGTATAGGGTGATTTCATGGGTCCACGATACATGTATGTGCGAATTTATTACAAGGTATGGCCATACTGTTATGGATATGTTTTTAGCCCGTGTCAGTTTTGCATTTTTTTTTTTCAATTTTTCTGTTGTGATTAGATTTAATTGTGCACAACTAATAGTATTTCTACCGTAAAAAGCAGCATATGTAGCTATAGAGTAAATGAGAGAATTTCTGGTGATAATAGTACTTTTCTTTCTTAATTCAGTCCAAAAAGGAATGGTTCCAAGCTTCTGATCTGATTAGGTTCACTTATTCAATTACATGCTTTTTTAGGACAAACATTGGCTCGTAAAGGAATTAATACGTGACATAAAAGCTTCAACCATTTTCAGAGAAACATGCACTTCTGGTCCACTAATGGTTGTCTTTGGTAAAATCGCATTAATTTGTGTAACTAATTACTTTCTATGATAATTTTAAGTGTTAGAAAATCACTCTTCACTAAAATTTTGTATTGGTATGGAAAGTTGATTTCGTCACGCTGTAAAACCTTTCTAGTTTTTTTGTTCATAATGTCTGGAAAAGCTTGAAGAAATTTTTCGACAGGACAGGAATATTTCTGCTCATTTTTCTCTACAAAATTTTAGAGATCGAAGTACCAACAGACAAGGTTATGCAATAAACCAATAAGTTGAAAAACATCCGCTTCCCTTTTCTGCTAATAATCAACAGTTTTATCATATAGTACTTAGCCATCTATTATTAATCCAAATTTTACTGACGAATTATTTGGTAACTTGTTACCGCTTTCAAAAAAAAAAAAAAAAAAAATTCGCGATCAAATTCTATCCCCGTTGAGTATTGCACAAACAATATTGAACTGTGTTTCATAATTTTGATACATGAATTGATGAATAAGTAAACATGAACATCTTATTTCCAATTGTACTCGTAACAGATCATAGAAAACATGTGATTAGTAGCGCGTCCTGTTGAGTTTCATTTGTCACATAATGTTGTCAAATTCTAATCACAATTTGTAGAAGTCAATATGAGATACATATTATGCATTAAAACATAATTCTCTTCTGAATATAGCTGGAAAGAATAATTCTCCAAGAAAGAAATAGCCACAGCAGCATGGAAGGCTGCTCCGTGTTGGAAGAACATCCTCATCAATGACAAAGTAGGGAGAGTGCGACCCTTTAATATCCGATCCTAAGCTTTCGCTTTTAACTCCAATCATGAAAAATGCAGCTGCCATTTTTTCTGTATACAAGCTGAAGTCCTCTGCTCCCATGGACATTGGAAGCAAGTGCACATTAGGCCCTCCAACTTATCCGTCCTTTTACGTGTGCTTGTACATTGTTTTGTCATTGACAGTTACTAAATATGGCCTTCTCTTGTCTAGCATGAAATCTCCTTTTGCACTGCACTTATGCACTGAAGCTTCAACAACATACCAGGGGACGCAGCTGCCCTCGGCCCTACATACCTCTGCCATTGATTACATGACAATTCTTAAAATACAGTTTTTTCTATGTGCTTGGGCAAAAGAACTTGGTAATAGTTTGTTTGATTTTTGTTTGTTTTTATTTTTATGTAGATGAGATTTGATTTGTTGTTGATATTACTACCATGTTCTTACTCAGTGGACACAAGTATATAAGAATGTAGACTCGTAAAAGAGCTAGAGTCAAATTATTATTGGAGAAGAGATTCAGGAACGTTGTCATTCAACTCAGAAAGAAAAGAAATATCGAAATGCCCTCTTGTCTTTACAGTGTGTCATTTTCTAAAAGGTAGTCTACACCGGTCGTAAATGGAGTAAACAATGCGCTATGACAAGTAAGGTTATCATACACTTTTGGCCAAAAAGATGGGGAGGTAGTCCCACATTAGTTTTGAATCAAAATGAGTGGCGTTCGAAGTCTAGATAAGGAGTTGAAAACCTTCTATTTTTCCAAAGGGCCTAAAGCCTTTTCTTTTAAATTTCTTAAAATGATTTCAAGGAGTAGCAATCCTAAAAGCCCTAAAATAAAAATTTCCAGCCTTTTAATAAAATTGAGAATCTTTTCCACCAAATAAGGGTCTTTTTAGAATGCCAAACTGAGGCGAACGCACAATACTCCTGAAATAAAAAGAGATAATCAATCATATTTTGTTTTGTTTTTTGTCATTTTCTTTTTTTCTATTGTGAATTATGATGAAAGGTTAAATGGAATGATCCTTAGCACATAGGTTTAATGTCTTTTATTCCTGTATTTAGTCGTATTCGAAGCGACAACATCATCTCAATCAAATTAATATGAATGTGTTAACAAAGAAAAGAAAAAAAATCCTAAAGCTAGAAACTTTTTTGCAAAATTTCTTAACATGTAAACCTCTTAATTATATATACAATTTTAGATTTCATCAGATTTAGTTATCAATCAAATCATGAAGATATCTTTTCTTTGTGTTTAGCTCCAACTAGGTAATTACTTCACTTGATTCTATTTAATATTTATGGTCAGTTTGAAAGGTATACTCAAATCATAATTCTTGATTTTAACGTTTAAAATTCAAATCTTTTTAGAGAGAAAAACACTGTAATAGAATTAAGAATTTGAGTTTCAGTATATAAAACAAACATGCCCTTAGTGATTAACGTTGAAGCTACAATTTAAAAGAAAAACACTGTAATAGAATTAAGAATTTGAGTTTTAGTATATAAAACAAACATGCCCTTAGTGATTAACGTTGAAGCTACAATTTTTAAGGCTATGAAGCTACAAAAATCCTCACAATCACATATACATTTGTTGTTTATAAATTCCTTCCGGAAGGATGGTCCTGTAAAAATGTAAAGTTTATTTTATGTAACAATAATGTTCAAAATGTGTAACACTAAATTAATTACTCGTTATCACTATTTTTTAACGTTATTATTATGTCAAATGAACAACGCTAGGAAGATTTTCGGTGATGACAGTATTTCTAGAGTTAATAGTAGTTTTTCTAATTAATTCAGCGGAAAAACAAATCATTTCCAGCTGCTTCAGAAATGTGTTGATGAAAATGAAATATTAACTAATTAATGGATACTGTTTAAGACCAGTTTACGCTCACTCTCATTCAAGTGCATGCTTTTTTAGGACACACATTGGCTCGTCAAGGAATTATACGTTATATAAAAGCTTCGACAATTTTTGGAGTTAGATAGAAACATGCGTTTATCGCATTAATTTGGTGCTAGAAAATCACTCTTCAATAAACTTTTGTATTGGTATGGAAAGTTGATTTCGTCACGCTGGAATACCTTTCTATTTTTGTTTATAATGTCACAACAATAAAGAGAATTGGAAAACATTGAAGAAAATTTTTCGACACCACAAGAATCTTTGTACTAATTTTTCGTCACAAAATTGAAGAGATCTAACTACCAAAAGACAAGGTTAAACTATGAACCAATAAAGCATATAGAACTAAAAGAACTAGCCATTTATTGTTAATAAGGATTCTTCTATGGTAGAGTCTCAAATCAATAGGTGCACATTTTTAAGGTTGGATCTGATCAACATCATATTAAAATGATTATATATATATATATAGATACATAATGACACTCTATAATGCAAATTTGACTGCTGAAAAACAAAAACCTTTCGGTAATTTACCTTTAATTCCCAAGTCCTACCATACAAATCACCAATGATAATCGAGAATTTAATGATGAATTATTTGGTAATTCGTTACTTTTTCTAAAAATCGAGATTGAATGCTATCCTTAACTCATTTTGGACGAACAATGAATTGCGTTTCCTAATTAATTGGATACATGATGAATAAGTAAACATGAACACCTTATTTCCAACTGTACCTGTGACATATGATAGAAAACATTGAACTTGTTCTGTTGAGTTTCATTGGTGACATATCGTTGACAGACATCAAATTCTAACCACCATTTGTATGGGTCGATAAGAGGTAAATGTTGAGGATTAGAACATAAATATTGTCTTCTGAATTTATAGAGAATGATTCTCCAAGAACGAAATAGCCACAGCAGCATGGAGGGCTGCTCCAATTGGAAGAACATCCTCATCAACAACAAAGTAGGGAGAGTGCACCTCTTTAAGATTCGATCCTAAGCTTTTGTTTTTCACTCCAATCATGAAAAATGCAGCTGCCATTTTTTCTGCATAGAAGCTGAAGTCCTCTGCTCCCATGGACATTGAAAGAAGGTGCACATTAGGCTCCCCAAGTAAAACTTCTCCGACCCTTTTCGCGTGCTTGTACATTTCTTCGTCGTTGACCGTTGCTGGATAGGGCCGTCTCTTGTCTAGCATGAAATCTACTGTGGCACTACACCTATGCACTGATGCTTGAATCTCTATCACCTGTGTGTCGAATATAGCAAATCCTAATTCAGGACAAAATCTTATAGAGAGTTTTAAGTTAGCCCATTAGCCCCTTTGAACAGCATACCTCTTTGATCCTTTGTTGAAGGTAGAACAGACCTTCTGAAGTCATGCTCCGAAAAGTGCCTCCAAATCTCACTGTCTGTGGAATGACATTTTCTGCCCGGCCTCCTTCAATGAACCCTACTGTGACTACCTGTTAACGATCGACGAAGATAAACAGCAAAAAAAAAAAAAAAAAAAAAAAAAAAAAAAAAAAAAAAAAAAAAAAACAAAGAGAACTAGGTCTTGTTAGTTTTCCATACTTCCAAACAAATATAACAATAACAAGTTTGGAACTTGGAATGGCTAAAAGGATTTCTCACCGTGGCCTCAAGAGGATCTGTTTCTCTTGAAACAATGTGCTGAAGTGCAAGAATAACGGAGGATGCTGCAAGAATTGGATCTCTTGTGACATGAGGCGCCGCGGCATGTCCACCTTTTCCTTCAATTTCGACCGCAAATCTGCCGGAGGCAGCAAGGAAGGGACCTGGCCTTGACCCTATTGTACCAGTAGCCATTTCTGGGCTGACATGTAAACCGAAAATAGCTTTAACCTTGTCAAGAGCACTCTCTTGCAACACATGGTACGCCCCGGCACGTCCCTCTTCAGCGGGTTGAAAAACAAGCTTCACAGTGCCCTTCAAATCAAATTTTAATTTCAAAAGTTGAGACAAAAATAAGAAGAAGATTATGATAAATTCAAGTGTTCTACATTGTATTTATTTATTTATTTTTATTATTATTTTTTTGTGTCTTTGGTTTTATACCTTAAGTTGATTGCTTCTGCTTTGAAGTAACTTGGCAGCACCAAGCAGCATTGTAACATGAGCGTCATGGCCACAAGCATGCATTTTGCCATGGTTCTTGCTCTTATGTTCCCACTCAACCAGTTCCTTTCAAATAATAATGTTGAATATGGACATTAGACTAGCAAAATTCATAAGAAGTCATTCACACACCTTATTCAGTCCCTCCCAAATAAAGATCAGAAGATTTATAAGCAGGAAATCAAAAAGAAAAAAAAAAAAACTATGAGGTGGAATTCAAACCTTTTCTGAGATGAAATTTATATTCTGATCTTAGATACATGAATATTTGTGTTGCAAATTTCTACTTAGGTGACTCTAGTTGCACACCATCAATAACGGAGTCCCTGTATAATCTTGACTTTTGAAATTTTAGTTCTTATAAGTGTTTTTAAAAATTAGAATTGTGCTATGATATTATGTAAAAAATTTTCTTGAACCCCTTTTAATAATCTAAATTTATAACTTTGCGCATATCTAATAAAACACTATCTCTTATATATTTCATATTCGCACCAACTAAAAAGATTTTCTGACTTGGTCATTACACACAACTATCTAATCATAAATCACCCTACACG